AGTCTCCTCAGATGTTTCCTCAGTAGTCTCGATATCACACTGTAAGTCCGGATGTGGCTCGATAATCTCTTTAGTCACAATGTTTTCCCCAGTTTGATATGATGTTGCGCTAGTACACTCACTTGTAATTTGAGTGATTGTAGTGGTTCTCCTTCCTTCACGCTAGTAGTTAGTAATATTACTGGATAGAATATAGGACTCGTACTTACTTTGACTTCCACCTCCATCTCCCGAGGGACTATCCGATCTTGGAGAAACACTCACAGTCAATCCAATGGAAGAGTCTTCAACATCTGGGTTAGTACATTCCAAGTTAACTCTGAAAACCATTGCGTACAATGGGTAATTTCCTCCTATACTTGTGTGAAAACCACTGACCCAGATCCGAGTACCTGCTGGAACAGCACCATATGTGAGGTCTAGGACAGTTTTGTTAGGTGACAGTTCGGAAGAAGAGATCTCAAGAGCTTGAAAATCCTTTGGATATCCCAGTTCCGTCAAACCTCTTGTATAGTAAAGTTGAATGTCTTCCTCAATAATTGGGTAATTCAACTCAGTAGTCCTTATTTGTAAACTTCCATTGCTTGCTCCTCCTCCTGAGCACATATACGGTTCAGGAGTGAAGTAAAAGAGCGTGTCACCTCTCATATTAATTCTGACGACAGCAATGCTTATATCTGGAATTGCTGCTTCAAACTGTACCTCTTTAGTGAGATCGCCATTGAAAGTCACCGTGTTGGTACCCACTTCCCAATGAGATGAAGCTGCAGCCGTCTCAAGTCTCAGACCACCCTCAAATACAATAGTGAAGGAAAGCGTACCACTCAGGGACTCGTAGCTATTTATATCTACTGTCATTTCACAAGAAATAACAGTTTCCAGAGAGCGAAGACCAGCCTGATCAACTTCACAGGAGGCAAAGGTCTGTCCATCTTCCAACAAGATATCAAAGCTGTTAGTGAGCATGTCATCTTCCAATATTCTAACCTGAGAGACGTAAGGCATTCTCAAGTAGAAGGAGTCACCTGTCTGCGCCATTGTCGAATCAACTGCCCATTCCATCACAACAGCATAGAAACCTTGGGGACCGTCACCCATATTCGCTACTGAAACTGTTGAAAGTTTCTGAATCGAGCTGATGGCTGTGAAAACGCCATCGACATCTTTACACAAGGCAACAAAAGAGCTTAACAGGAGAATAAGTATCCTATGAATAGTTATCCTCATCATTTCAGAAATCGAGCTTACTTATCCAGAAACCAAAACGAGCTCATCTAGTCATAGAATCGGACATCAGCGTGGTATTTATATGGTAATGGAGAAAGCCTCTTCAACATGAAGGTGTATTGTCTGCAAAACTGAATAAGTAAACAGAGGGTAAACACTAATTTCGCCTTGCATGAACTGGCATATCAACATTGTCAACGTTGTCCAATGCAATTCAGCATGGTGTACACGTTGGAGGCACACATGTTGCGACTTAGAGACCGAATCTACGAGACTAGAGTCATTAGCTGGATATAAGGTGATGAAGCGTAGTGTTGGCTACACATGCGGCTTTTATCTGAGCGATTGAGAGTTCTCCTTGGGGGTGACAGCCTTGATTAGAAATCCAAGGGCTTTGAGGACAATGATTCACACGTAGATCGAGTTATCTGCTCTTTCTCACGTTCTGTGTCCCAATTTATGAGCCCTGCATCTCACAGGAGGTATACGATACAACGTAAGCGCATGTATTGCACTCAGTGCTCTTTTGATGAATGCTTCATGAGATTAAGCATTGTTAGATATCCTACGTTCCATACATGCAAGAGTAAAAAGAACATAGTATACGCCTGTGTCAAGCCTTCTATACAAGTATCCAGGCTTTCGAAGCCCTTTTGAAGATATACATATGAGCCATCTTATTACATTAAGACTTAGAGGCTGCTGTACACTTACTTAGTTTGTACTGAGAGAGTTACTGCCTTTTTAACAAGTGGCGATGGCATCAGCGTCGCATCACACATTTTCACCAGCTTCTTGACACTAACAATGGCGAGAATTAGAGCACTTAAAGGCCAATTGAGCTACTCATACATGTTTGGTTGCATCCTTTTCAATAACTATATCATTGGAGTTTGCAGTAGTATTCTACATTGACATCTTCAGTGTGAGCTTAACTACACAAAGGTTGAAGATCTTGGCTGAGCTGCCTGATGCTGTCCATGTGAGATATTTATCCCTGACGCATACCGTATCTACCGAAACAGGAAGAGAACTTTTGCATTTTATGAGCGTAAATAGCTTGGAAGTCACTGCTGGGTTAAAGTGTAACAAGCACATGAACAAGGGCAGGAATTGGAAAGTCTTCAAGAAGCTCACTTTGGGTGATAAGATATCAGGAAGAAGATGGTAAGTTTCTCTGAATCAATTTACTGTAACGTGTTGTCAATTAAGCATAATTAGTCTATATGGAAGAAGATACAGTTCACTAAACTTATAATTGGTATCAACATTCAAGTATATGGTATTTGTATCTTGGATATTCAAATTCGACAGAGAAATACGCACATGCATTAAAGAAAGCAAGGACTAATTATGACCTTCACATCTGAAGTGAGCCTGCATTGAGACAAAGGCGCATGGAGGACAAAGGCGTCGGGAGCTCCTGAGTAGCACTGTGCTGACTAGCACTGATGCTTCGTATGCTGTCGGTCCTTATTCGTGGTTATGTGAGCCTCTTAAAATCAGATGATAAAATTGGTTGTAGCAGCGCATTATTGGCACCTAGCAGCACATCACAACCAAGGTATGCACAATTGCTTAAAACTAATTACAAAGGAACACATCAAGCCTGCATGCACTGAGACATCGAGTCGAGACTCACGCTCAACCATGGAGTTTGTAGATGAAATGAGAAGCCAATACCCTCGGCGACCTGTGTTACTACCGTTTGGCTGAACATGAGGTGTGTGTATACGTATATGGGCTCCATAGACACATATCGGAGATGCATGCCTTTCAAACCAGCCAAACGAGCAGTGTCATGTCTCAATGCTTAGACACAATACACACAGTCTAACTATGAACATCTTGTTAAGCTCAGTAGGCTGAATGTGTTCTCATATCTTATCACCGGGCTTAAGCGGATTTATCGGCGGAGTTAGTACAGTACATAGCGCCCTCGAAGCGTTGAAAAAATACATCAACGGTTTCTAAGACAGAAACATTGGAGCAAGGAAGACGTATTGGACATAATGGAACAGTTGGACCTCGATCAGATTCTGTTTGGGCTAGACACCTTCATAACACAGTGTATAGATGGATCGTTGCAACTGGAAGGTGCTCTTTTGGAGTCTGCTGAAGTTTTACTTGACCAGTTGTTCGTCAAGTTGAGAGACCCTTCAACAAGATCGAATCACCTAATTACACTGAATTTGGCCAAGTTTGTACAAGCTGCGTCGTATCTAATATCCAGTTCAGAAGCTCACGGTGCTTTGGCGGTGAGATTGCTGAAAGTGCTGGCAAATGCCGTGGCTGACGAAGATCACAATAGGGCAGTTGTTGTTGGCGACGAACGCTTTCTGAAGACTTTGGAGGCTCATATCAGAGATAACTTTGATTACGAAGATCTGAACAACCTGATATTTGTACTGATGAAGAACTTGATTGTTGATTCTCCAGGTATCGCGCAACAATTGGCGTTCATGACTGATGCCATTATGACGAATGTTCTATACGATAAGTCCTATTTTGGAATATCTGTGCTTGCAGAGCTGATTCCATACAAGAAGTTCACACCAGAGACGAGGAAAGTTCTTCAGTTCGAGTCCCTTATCATCTCTGTTATCTCTTCGAGGAACAAATATGACGAGGATGAATTCACAGAACAGTTGATCGATCTTTCCTCTATATTGGAGTCACTAACTAGCGATTTGTCGTTGGATTTCAAAGACGAATACTATGAGAAACAGGTGCAGTTGAATCTATTCAGCATCGAGGAAGCATTATATCCTCTGGAGTTTCCTAATAAGCTGAGAGTTCAGAGAGTGGTACTTTCATGTTCTGGTAACGTCTCGGCAAACCCCACAACCAACAACGCCGTTATGCTATCGTACCTCTTAAAAGGTATACATTCTGACGACGAAACAAATGGTTACAAGATATCAATGGCATTCACCATCATTGGTAATTACATCACTTCGAGTTCTAAGAAAATGGAAATCTTGGATAAAGACCCGCAAATCATTTCCCAAGCATTGAAGAAATACAACTATTTGGTGGACCCTGTCCAATTCCAAGGTCTACTACACCTTTTGAAGGGTCTTGTATCGTTTGACACTGTATCCCAGCTATTCCAAGCGGACTCTGTCAACGAGTTTACCTCATTAGTCGAGGCAACTGTGAGAAACTCCCGTTACTATACGAACTTCACTGACTTACTCTTGAAATTCCTGAAGAAGACGTTAGTACTGCTGGGCAAGTCCCAAGTTGAAGCACTGCTCAAGACAAACATCATAGAGTCCCTACTCTCAGCTGATTCCACCTATGACTACGACATAGTCTTCCTGCTGCTGCTGAACAAGATCTCCATCCATGGGTTCCCCCTGGCTGTCTATGGACCACAACTGCTGGATCGGGTGTTCAAGTTTCCCAGCGCAAATGTCCCAGATATATACATCTTCGAGATGACAAAGACTCTGGGTGTACTACTACAGCATAACGGCCAATTCATGCTAGATAACTACACCGATTCGATACTCCACTTCATAGAGCAATGTCCATCTACAAAGGGAGAAGCAGCCCCACAAGTGGCATACATGGTTGAAAACAACGTCAAGTACATCTGCCACTCTCTAATTGAGCTCAACAAGACCTATCCAGTGGCTCAAGACTTGTTGAATAGAGCACAGCTCATACTCCCATCCCAATCACATAGTTAGATAACAATGTCACACAGCGCAACAGCAGAGAATCGAACCCCCACCTCCTCCCCTCGTCCGCTTCCTCCGTGGCGCAGTGGAAAAAACCCCTTGTAGCCGCTGGGGACCCCTCAAGGGGTCCCCACAGCAACAACAAGCCAAAAGCATCCGCGCGCGTCGCCCGCACCCTAAAATTACGCGTCTCGTGTTTACGGTTTTTCTTTTCGTATGCGCGTGTGCGTTCGGAAAAATTCTGTCCAATCGACAGTTTTTCCTCTTCTTTGTGCTGCTTTTCTGTGTTTGTTTACAAATTTCATTTGTTTACATTCCTCCATCGTTTTCTCCTTTTAACACTACCAGAACAGCTCAAATTGGAGTGAAAAGACGAGGAAAAGAGATGTTGCCGTTGAAGTCCCTCGTTGCTATTGCCTGTGTGCTTTGTGTGCCAGTTGTTGATGCTCTTATTCCCATCCAAGTGAAGGGGAAGAGATTCTTGCAGCCAAACACTGATGCCACTGTCCAAGGAAAGGCGTATTTTGCCACTGGTATTGACTACTTGATTGGCGGAGCCTCTGGCTACGAGTCGGACTCTGGTGTTGATGCGCTCTCGGACCCAGAGACGTGCTACAGAGACGCATATGTCTTTCAACAGTTGGGTATCAATACCGTCAGAATCTATTCGCTCAATCCAGATTTGGATCACGACGAGTGTATGACCATATTGAACAACGCTGGTATCTACGTGTTGCTCGACGTGAACTCTGGTGAATACGGCCAGCATTTGAACAGGGCGGAACCATGGTCCACTTATAATGCCCAGTACTTGACACATGTGTTCACCTTCATCGAGGCGTTCAAGAACTATCCGAACGTGTTGGGCTTCTTTAGTGGTAACGAGATCATTAACGATCAGAACGACTATGCAAGCATCACACCGAAGTATGTTAGAGCCGTCCAAAGAGATATGAAGCAGTACATTGCCAAACACTCAAACAGAACCATCCCAGTCGGTTACTCCGCCGCGGATGGTGTGGACTTGAGAAGAGCAACCCTTGAGTACATGCAGTGTCACATCGACGGTGATGACGATGACATGTCAAGATCTGATTTCTTCGGGTTGAACTCTTATGAATGGTGTTCTGGTCAATCCGATTGGCAAACTTCTGGTTATGAGAAGTTGAACTCTACATTGGCAAACACCACAATCCCACTGATCTTTTCAGAATTTGGCTGTAATACACACAGCCCAAGAACCTTTGATGAGATCGGTGATGGTCTTTTTGGTGGCTTGGTCAACACATTCTCGGGTGGATTGGTGTACGAGTACTCACAAGAAGCGTCCGATTACGGTGTTGTTGAAGTCAGCTCTAACGGTGATATCAGTTATTTGGAAGACTTCCCATACTTGCAAGAGCAATACCAAAACGCCACAATCCCAACCATCTATGAGGATGATATTGAAGATACCGAGGCACCAGAGTGTGATGCGGATAGAATCACCGCCATCTATTCTGATTTCGGTGCAGATTTCGATTTACCAGAACTTGATGAGATCAAGCAGTTGATCGAGTACGGTGTCAACGCCTCTAGAGTTGGCGAGATATTGTCGGATGTCAGTGCACGCTCCTCCAACTATACCATATACAATACTGGGAGTGCTGTCGTTGACGATGCCACCGTTACCTTCTCAAGTGAATACGAAGTGAACACTCAATCAGGTGTAACCACTGCCACTTCAAAGGCACAACCTACGTCTACGGCCACAGCCTCAAGTGCTGCTTCATCCAGCTCCTCAAAGGATGCAGCCATTTCCTTACCAATACCAGGCACTACACTATCAGTGTTATTCTTTACTCTGATTTCTTATATCATTTGAACTCCTTCTTTTTCCATCCTTTTCGAATTTCTTTGTCCGTCTGCCTTTCTTTCTTTCTTTCATTCATTTTTTGAATATTTTTATATCAATCACTTTTAGTAATTACACCTAGTGTTTCGTTCCCTTAGATTCATTGTAAAGTTGTATTAAATGCATTGTATGTCATCAAGTTGAGTATCATCGGTCAATGGTACGATTGGTCATAAGTGTCATCAAGAGTTAGAAGCCTTTATGGAAGCTGTAGACGCAGCCTTCTCTTGCTCGAGTTGTTTCTTCTTTTGTAATAGCTTCTTGGCCTTCACTCTTTTTTCAGTCTCTGCAAATACTTTAAAATGAACAGGCACACTCCCCCAAGCTTCGTCATCGTTAGCATCGACATCTTCGTCATTCGATGCCTTTAGATTCTGGGCACCTGGTGCACCCTTTGTTGGGAAGTACGCACTACTCGACAACCTCTTCCCTGAGCCGAGTTTACGCTTTGCGGATCTCAGCTCCCTTGGTACGTTCTTGAAGTCTAAGGCCTTTAGAGGAGGGTCGAAGTCCTTTGGCCAGATATCTTCAGTCTGGTTCAGTTTCTCAGCAGCCAAGTTACGCTTCTTCCTCCAATCACGGATATCGTCGTTATACTGCTCCCAGACACAGTTGACACACCCTGACATGCAGCAGTTATCAGGCTCTATAGGCTTATGAGGAACCAGCACACCAGCTATTAGCCTCGGAGCATTGACATCACGACGTGAGGACGCCTCACGGCCAGAACCATCCAAACGACCTCCAAACACCTGACGCATACGCTCAGCAGACGACGCAGACTCACCGGTGTTGCCATAGAACCGTAGAGCCGACGAATCGTTATTGGTTGCCCCCGATGACGATGCTAATGTCGACGTTGAAGTTGATGCTGATTGATTCGCTACAGTCACAGTTAGCACGGAGAAACCACCAACACACACAGAAACAACTCACGCTTCACGCCGGTAGACAGTGATCTCTTTACAATGCAAGCTCTCATTGGCCTTATCATCATGGATCTTCACAGCTATCAGTCTAGTCTTCTGTATATGAATACAACACAGTGGTTAGACAGGTAGGAGAGTGAAGAGGAAGGGAAGGGAGAAAAAAATAAGCGGGAAAAGCCGGCGGAAAGATTGCTCCGGGGACGGAAATGCTGCCCAAACCACATCACAATTGCTTACATAAGCACAGACACGGCGCTTACATAATCAGAATATCGTGATTACTAAGCCCACCAAGTATTGACCAGTACGGCTGCTATTATACCAGCTGTAAGCTATAAATATACGCGGTTTGCACATCCTCCTTGGGCTTCTCACCCCTTCTTCCATCATCCCACACATAGAAAGCCGCTATACAGAGAGAAATCATGGTTCAATTGACGAATTCCACCACTGAGCTGAAGCTCAACACCGGGGCATCGATCCCACAGCTGGGATTAGGTACCTGGAGATCAACAGAGGAGGAGGCATACAATGCGGTCATAAGTGCCTTGAAAGATGGCTACAGACACATCGACTCTGCTGCCATCTACGAGAACGAGATCCCGGTCGGTAAGGCCATCAGGGATTCCGGCGTGCCACGTGAAGAGATCTTTGTCACGACAAAGCTGTGGAGCACTCAGCAGAGAGACCCAGCTGCTGCTTTGGATGCATCTCTCAAGAGATTGGGACTGGAGTACGTTGACCTGTACCTGATGCACTGGCCAGTGGCCTTTGTCGCCAAAGTCACCGACGGTGACTATCCTGGCATGACTGTGCCTCGTGATGACGAGGGTAAGGTGCTCATGGATGAGGACTGGCACTTCACAAAGACCTGGGAGAAGTTGCAAGAGCTGCCTTCTACAGGAAAGACCAAGGCAGTTGGAGTCTGCAACTTCTCCGTCAAGAACCTGAAGGAGCTTCTTGCTGCAAAGACCACCAAGCTAGTCCCTGCTGTCAACCAAGTTGAAAGCCATCCATTGTTGCCACAGGATGAGCTGCTCGAGTTTGGTAAGGAACATGGCATCTTGATCGAGGCCTACTCCCCACTGGGATCCTTAGGCTCGCCATTGCTGAAAGACGAGGAGTTACAAGCCATTGCAGACAAGTATGAGGTGTCGATTGCACAGTTGTTGATCAACTGGGGGCTGAAGAGAAACACCGTTGTGCTGCCTAAGTCTGTTCATAAGGAGAGAGTTGAGTCCAACCTCAAGGTCTTTGAACTGAAACAGCAGGACTTTGACCAGGTTACCAACTTGATCAAGACCCATGGAGAGCAAAGATTCGTTGCTCCGGACTGGAAGACACACGATGTTACCCTCTTTGAGTGAGTGAGTAGCTGTGCGTTATATATACGTTATAGCTATATGTTGTATATCCATACACTATATATCAATACACTATACAGCCATACACTATACAGCCATACATCTACACAATCCGTTTATCCATTTTTTTATTCTTTTGCCATGGTTTATATAACGATATTCACAGTAAACTTGCGGGCGAAGCCAGTTCCCTCCACACAGAGCTCAGCTCCATGTTCTTCCAACGGTGTTCTTCAATTCATCCTTCGTCAACACTTTACCAGTGGTGAAGTAGCCAGAATGGATCTTGGCATCGATTTCAACTCTCGAATCAGGTGGAATCAACTCATCTGGGATTGGGATTCTCTCAATGATTGGAATGCCCTGCTCCACAATGGCATCGTGCTTCATGTTGGACATCGAGAGCATTCTGTCAATCTTGGTGATCCCCAACCAGTGCAACACGTCTGGCATCAACTGCTGGAATCTCATGTCCCTGACACCGGCAATGCACTCAGTTCTGTGGAAGTACTCTGCTGCGGTGTCACCACCTCTCTTTCTAGCGTTGTAGACCAAGTACTTGGTGACTTCACCAAGTGCACGTCCCTCCTTTCTGAAGTAGACAACAAGGCCCACACCACCGTTCTGAGCCTCCTTCACGGCCTCCTCGATACCAAAGATCAAGTATGGACGGCACGTGCAGATGTCAGAGCCAAACACGTCGGACCCGTTACACTCGTCATGGATTCTCAAGGCCAACTTCTTCTCTGGGTTGGAGAGGTCTGCAACGTCGCCAAAGATGTAGACGGTCAAGCCACCGATAGGAGGCAAGAACACCTTGATGTCTGGTCTCGTCACCAACTCTGGGTACATACCGTTGGTGTCTTTGAACAAGGCCTCACGCAACTCAGCCTCTGTGATGCCGAATCTCTCAGCAACACCTGGCAAGTACCAGACAGGCTCGACGGCAATCTTCTGGACGTTCAAGTCACCGTTGGAGTTGATGACAACGTCACCATCAACCCTCAGTCTTCCCTTTTCAACGGCCTCCTTCATCTCAGCCATCTGCATGTGGGCCTTGGTGATGGAGATCGTTGGTCTGATGTCAACGTTGTTCTTAGCACCAACGTCGGCAAACAACCACGGAACCAAGTGGCCAAAGGGGTCCATGGAGACGATCTTGTCGCTGTCGCCCCACTGCTTCTGCTCCTTCACCTTGAAGGCAGGCTCAGCGTTCGTGTAGTCCGCAACGTAGCTCGGGTCCAGCTGCTTGGAGCCAACGGCCAACGCGTGGTACACGGAGTAAGGACCAGCGTGCGCACCGATGGCGTTGTGCTTGGCCATCCCGTCCTTGTACCAGGAGCACACCACGGGGCCTCTGGCCATCGGGTCTGCTGCTCCCCAGTTCATCGGCAAGGCATCCACGTCCGAGTCGCTGGTGTACGTGGCGAGTCTGAAGCCCTCGACGGGCAGCTCGTTGGCGAGCTTGATCTCGTGGTGCGCACACGCACCGGCGTGCGTGTGTGATAACAGCTCCGCTGGCTGTGTCTGGGTGAGCACCGCCTGGTGCTCCGTCAATGCTGCTGGGGTCATAATGTGTGCTTGTTGATGGTACCTTAATATCTCACTGGAATCAGTTTGAATGATGATGAAACAAACACAGAGGAAATAGAGCTGCTGAGGGAGGAAACGACTCTCCTTTTATACCCAGTGGCGCTAGCGCCCTGGGTGCTCGAATGTAAACAAGGGCCATAGATAGTGTATCACAAGCGGTTTGTGTCATGATGGAGCTAGCGGAGCTCCGGCGGAGGTAAGACGTAGTTAAGAGATAATCGCCGGCGGGGGTGGAGCCCCGGTGTGGGCACATGGTGGTGGTGGTGCGCGCACGCTGGGGCTCAGCCGGGTTGCGATAAGGGCAGGGGGTTGTTAGGCGGCGGGGGGTTGTTAGGCGGGGGGGGGAGGTAGCTGATAAGGGCTGCCGGCCGGAGCGGTGCTGTAGTCCGTTGGAGGAGCGAGCTAGCCGGGGAGTTGTTGGTGGTGAG